GAAAGAAAACTTAAAAAGGGAAAAGATCAATTCTATAAATATAATTCTTTTCACCATTTGCAAGCTAAACGACAAACATATTACATATGATGACTTTGAAGAAGAATATGACAATTCATCAAATAAAGTAGAATATATTAAAACAAAGTTTGATAAAATATATAACGGAAAGACAAATGAACCTGAAGCTCTAGCAAATAAATATAAATTTGGTTTTTTCATTAATTATCTAATCAATTATTATGACTTTAATGAAAAATTAAAATACTACAACACTTGTTTCTAAAAAATAAACAAGCTTTATAAAATTATTGGAGACAATATAAATGATCTCTCTATCCTATTTGATTGGTTTAAAGGAGCTCATGGTATTATATTACTTATTTATTATTTTAATTTTTTATGATTTCTGATTAATTATCATTATGAAATAATTAATTAATAATTTTATAGGAACTTTGAAAATTGATTCATTAACAGAGTGGTTCAAATTCGGAAAGACATGTAAGTTCCTTTTTGATTTAATTTTACATTATTATTCATTTTAATTAATTACATTAATTACTATCACATATAAATAGATGATGATAATAATTTTAATGCATTAGTTTTGCCTTATCCTAAAGTAGACTTTATCAATTTACCAGATCGAATCGAAGCCCTTAAGAATAAAATTGAAGATATTACTCGTAATCATGATCAAAGTTATTATCGTCAAAAAGCAATGAAACAAATTAATGATCTTTGTTTTAATAATTCTCATTCTATTAATACACAAATGATTTTAATGACAAAATCATGGCATGTATTTATAATTGATTAAAACCATTATTAATTATTTTAAGTTATAACTAATTCTAAATACCTGCAGCCTGGTTATTACGATCCTAAAGGGTTACAAATAATTTCCAATAAATTAGAAGAGCTTTTTATAGTTAATAGAAAAATTGATAATCTTATGTGCGCTCCATAAAGTACAATTGACTATCTTTTTATGATTCTATTGCCTGATACTACCACGCTTTTAATTATGGAGGACTTTAAATATCGATTTGACAAGGCTAGAAAAATAATAGAAGAAAGTGTGGCATATAGTTCGATATTTAACAACGAAGAAGAAATATTAATTGATAATGAAAATGATAGTAGTGATAATACTGATGAAGAAGAAAGTTATTAGTTAAAATATCTTATAAAACTTTTAGCATTTTTATATTTTTCTTACATCAGTGATATTTGTTAAAGTAATAAATTTATGCTAGTAAAATTGGTTTATTTGTCTTCAAGAATTTATAATTCTTAGATTCATGCCACATGAAGGAACAATTAGATTCATTTCTAGTGCAATACTGAGGACCCACTGCTTCTTAAGATTAATTGAAGAGAAGGATATTTAAAACTGCATAATTTCTTGAGTGAATTCTTATTAACAGTACACTGGGATTTGAATTTTATTATATTTGGGATTTGGGACAATTTTACCATATTACGATTTGGGATTTGGGTGTGATTTTGAGAATTTTTAGTTTTTGCCAAT